AGAAAGAGCAATGCAGGTAGGTGATCTGTAGCTGCAGTAAGGGCTGGGAATGTGGGTGTAAAGATGTAGTCTGTCCTCAGTGGAGAAAAGCTTTTTGTTCATTTCAGAAGGCTCTGACTAACACAGTTTTCTTTCAAAAGCATTTATTTATGTAAAAGCACTGGAAAACTGCACACTCAGTCCACCTGTTTATTCAGAGAGCTTGGGGGCAGCTCACTTGTTATAAAGGGCAGCTTGTTGCAAAATGAAAGCTGGAAATAGTTTAACTGTTTTCCTGTTTACAAACAAGACAATAAAATGTATCACCGTGTAAACCAGCACATAAGTACCATGTAAGGACAGGTCACGGCTGAGAATGGCTCAAGCACTTGCCTGCAGCTCCTGATGCTACTCAGCATCTCAGGCTCTGAGTGGGATGCCTGTGGCTAATGGCTCCAGAGAGAGGGCACAGTCACTCCACCCTCTTCAAAGGTCAGCAGCAAGTGCTTCTACCTTCCTCTGCCTCTCTAAGCCTTTTTTCTTCTCCCATTCCTGAGACACTAGGCAAATTTGTTCCCAGTGGATACACCAGTTGCACTGCCTAGCTAGGGCACTGCACAGGCACCAGCAGAAACAGATTCCTATGCTAGACACAGCCTGTATCCCATCGGAGACCAGAGGCAGCTGACACCTCTCAAACTGAAGGTTTGCATCAATACCACCAGTTTTACAAGGTTAGGCTTGAAAAGTGTTTAGATACCCACTACTAAGAGTTAAAACCATATGGCTATTAGGAAAACATGCTAAAGACATGTTTTGGAGGGACAAAAAGATTGAGTTTAATTTAAATAAGAGCCTATTATCACTAGGAGCTGCTCATTATCTTCTCTGGGGATTTCATCAAGAGGTGAAATACTAACCCTGTGTTTACACACGCAGTCTAACATTAGATATTCTCTCAGTAAGTTGATGGTAGAAACAAGTTCTGCAGCCATAGCAGAGACACAACGGATGGAGAATGTATCATCTCTTGCCTCTTATGCCTCTGTTACTTCCATAGGGACAAAAGAGAAGAACCATCTCCCCTCTCTAGAGTGAGAGGGGCTAAAGAAGATCTGAAATAAGATGGAAAAGAAACTGTGAAAGCCTCAGTAACCTACAGGGAACTCATCTATTTAGTATTTTATCCATTGTAGATTAAAAGGCCCATTGTGATTACATAGCAGCCTCACACATTTTCCTGACAGGTATCTTCCCACCCTTTTCCTCATGCAGCCATAATATGCCCTCAGAAATGGTGTGAGATTATCCTGAGGAAAACTTTCCACTGAAGTGCAAGATATCCAACTAAATATCTGTTAACCTGACAGCTTCTTCCAATTAGTCCTTCTTATTTAAGCACACTCCCTCTCTGCTACTGCAGACACATTCAATTAAGATGAAGAAAAAAGTGCAGTAGACAAGCTTGACATTAATATAAATAAATTAGTATCTTTTCTTCATGCACAAAGAGATCACAGTTCAGCCTTCAGTCGAGCTATTGGCTCTAGGGGATTTAAATACAGATAAACTGCATCACTACAATCTCTGTTTGCAGTAACTATAAGAAAGGTGACATTAACAAAACAGCCAAAATGTCTTTGAACATCATGTACCTGTACCTGGATCTCTGGATAATAAAATTAACAGTGATTTCCATGTCTTCTAATGATTTTTTTAATACTGACAACAATGTAAAAAGTGACAGCCAATTTGATAACAAGCATGGATTCCCTTCTTGCTTAGGGAAACACAAACCTGTCATGAGTTTGGTCTTTTGCAAGGTCAGAGAGGTGCAACGTGTTCTCCTTCCTGCCCAGAAAGCACTGTGCACCATCAGTAAGCTGTGTGTAAAACAATAAAACCAGTTTTATACATAAAATTATATTAGGATACATTCTTCTCAGCCATCTACCATGAGCTCCTCTGCCATTTATTTCTCTCCATGCCAATCTCTCACTCTGTTCCACAGTATTAACTAGTTTCTCTTTCAGGTGGCCAAGAGACAATGTAACGAAGCTGAACAGGCAGCAGTTTGTCCTCAAACAATATTTAAGAAACCACCACCTCAATTTATGATCTGTGAAAGGGCTTCTCGCACTAGCAACTTTTCTAGTCTTTTCTTTGCTGAAATGATGGGAGAAAATTCCAAATTTTTCTCTCACAAGCTCCAGCTATGATGTCTGAAATATGAGAGGCTATTAGAGTAGATTATCTTTGCAAGTATTACGATTATTTGTCTGTTGAAAAGCATGGATTTTCTAAGTTAAAGTAGTGCTGCCCAGTGTGAAGCATTTGCTTAATGTCAAAATCAATGGTTGAATAGCCCAGAGTTCAGCTGAGGGGCCAGCCCCTTCAGCAACAGTAATTATAACCATTTCCAAGAAGGCCAATTATGGTCCCTATTAATTAGGATCTAATCTGTTCATAGGTGTTCCTCAAGGATGAGGCACATAACATGAAACACTCTAATGATTGCAACAGGGATCTGCTAGACTCTTAGAAGCGTGGTTGTTCAGACCTCAGTTGAGGAACCTGTTTTTACCTGAGCATTCAGAATATGAAAAGCTGGCCATGTACTTCCATGCTTCACCATACGTGAACAAGACAGGAAAATATTTGCTTTATAAAAGCAAGAAAAAGGCTTCGACTTTCTTTCCATCTTACCAAAGCCTGGAAAAAATTGAAGGCACATGCAAGAAGCATTATGAGACTTGTAAACATAGGAGCCAAAGCCAGTTAGTTGAGAGTGTCCAAAAAAGTAATTTTAATAGTTTCAGAGCAAATAATGTGTGTTCTGATTTAAATCAAGCATTGACCTGCTTTCTACAAACATTCATATCAGCTATGCTTCCTACCATATGCTTACTTAGCTAATTATATCAAAATCTGATTCTGCATGTATAAGGAAATAGACTTGAGTGCCACAACAACACAGAAGGCATGTATTAAATCCTCTTCTCTTTGTCCACAAAAATAATATAAAACATCTTGAAAATGTCAAAGCCAGAAAAAAAATTATTGGAGCAAGAGAAAAAGTCCAGAAAATCAAGGACACAGAAAAGCTTACAAGCTGCCATGACTTGAAATACACTAACTTGGGGTTTGGAAGAATTTCCACCACATTGAAAAAGATATGTGAGAAACAACTGCTTGGATGCTTGAGAGCAGAGAAGGGAGAACTGCATTCATGCCTGCAAGTAATGTTTTGAGTAATTTGCCCTGGTCTCAGCAAAAATGGGAATTCAGCCAAGAACCTTTGATCTCACTGCTGAGCATGCAAATAATCTGGTTATAATCAGGGTTGAGTCTTAAAAGGTCTCAAGCACACTCTGAGCATTAGTAGTGCCTGAAACAGCACTCCCTATATGAAGAGCAGTGGTCCCTGCAACAACCAGGCAGAAGATGGATAGCTAGAGCTAAGCACGCTTCCCTGCTTTATCAAACTTGCATTATCTGGTGCCTCTCTTCACACTGAAATGCCTCTGAATTTCGGAGATAGACCTGAACACTTTGAAAGCTTCCTGGAAAAACCCAGGAAGTTCAACACCACACCAACAACCACAACTCTCGACATCTTGGTACCAAGAAATCTGGTTCTGTCCAGAAGTTCAGTACAGACCAACTATATTTGGACTTCTTAAAAGCAGAGATCACACTAAAATCCAAGAAAATTTGCTAGATTGTAATTTCAAAATTTTTCTTTGCTCTCTAGGTAAACGTAGCCTGAAGTACATCAAGGGAGTCATGGTTTAAAGATAGAATCAATGCATCAACAGTTTAGATTTTTTTCTTGGGAGGAAACTGTTGAGCATCTCTTGTTTTGTGCAATGTTTGCTTTTAAAACTTAAGGCTTATTCAAAACTGACACACTGTGGGTGTAATTCACCTCTTGACAGAAAAAACACTGCCTTGGGTGATTTCAGCTAACCCATTTCATGGCTGGAGCATACACAGTTTGATATTACAGCCTAGCTGATATTGTGGAGGCAATTTTAACTCAGATGTTAATGACTCTGAGAAAGCACTTACCTCCTGCAATGGTTCAGACACACTGATATCTGGAAGGATGGACTGAAGCACAGTCTGAGCTGTGCTGCAGGTCACCTGGGGGCAGAAGGCTACAGATCACTGCAGATCTAATGCAAAGCATAATGCAAATCTCTGTAAAGGAAAATAGGTTGTCTTCTTGGGAAGCTGCATGATTTCTAGTTGAATTACAGCCTGGGCATTTTAATTACCACAGGTATTTCCTTGAAGATCTGATCTTAGGAGGGTTTGGTCTGAGCATTTACAACCAGGAGCTGGTTTCGTCTCTGGATCAGGGCTGAAATTGGGCAGACATGTGAGATTGCCTCACCTCTCATGCAGGGTTTTAAGTAGGGTAAAAATTGGAGGAGTTAAAACTTTTTTGCGTACTTGTGCTTGCTTAGATGCCTTCCCACCATGGCCACCATGTTCATCAGCATATGGACCTAGAACTTGAAGCTGCCCTTGGACAATTTTAGGTAATTTTAAAAATAGCTTGGAAAATAAAAACTCTCTTGTATGTGTTTTTCTCTGGCTGAGCTCCTGTCCTGACACCTGCCAGCACAGAAGTGGCTTAAATAGGATTTTTCCTCAAGTCATTTAAATAATTTAGAAACACTGAGCAGAGGGAGTGAATATTTTGTATTTTAAAGGTCTTTCAAGGGTCCCTGAGAGAGAATTAAGGGATACTGCTGCAGTCAAGTGAAGATGGCATTATCTTTCCTCAAAACTCAGAAGAGGTAGCACTTGAGACCAAATGTTACAGTAACAAAATATTTAATATAACTTCATGCTTCACTGAAAATGTATTTCCTGTTTTCCACAAGCACAAAAAGAAAGACCATGTGCTCTTGATCTTGTATAACAAAATGTTTTTCTGCATTTCTTCATCCATACCATTCACATATAAGACACTTCATGCTGTAGAGGTTTCCATAGCAACAGAACAGAATCTTTAACAATAGTAGCTGTTCTTTCCCCAGGTATAATTATCAGCTGGTCATAGCTCAGCCTTTGAAATTAAGCTTCTTGTCCTTATGGAGCTGCACATCTAGAGTGAGCAACTATTTTGCACCCAGCTTACATGAGTGATGCCTTAACTCCAATTAGCTCATTTAGGAATGAGTACAGGAATTCTAGCAGCAGAGAATACATCACTGTGTCTGAGTTCTTCAGAAGCTTTGAAGCATGTATCCACATCTTCCTTTCCTACTCTCAGGAATTTATTATCTTTGTCACAGGAGACAAGGGAGAAGGCAGAAGCATGTAGAGAATGAGAGTCTTTCCAGAATCATACAAAAGTGCTGTGGCAGAGCAGATGAGATGAAGGTTTACATTTACAGGCTTTTGCCCTGTCTGGCACACCATATTGTGGAGCCCCAGTGACATGCAAATTATTGTTCCTGTTCAGTTTAATCTCCCATCCAAACTATGTTAAAGTTAAAACGAACTTTGTTTCCTCCTCCTTCATTTGATGGCTACTTGGGTATTTTTTCTGAAGGTCAAACCTTTCCTCATATGCATTGTAAAGAGTCGTGGATGGAGTGTAACTCCATCCTCACTGCTGTTATCACCACAGCTGGTTTCTGAGTCCTTTGACTTTGTACTTTTTCGGACTCACTTCGCCCAGCACTCTGCAGGAAGGACATTGTTGACCATGCTGTGTGTGATCAACTTCCATCTTCCAAAGCCTTTTTTAAGAAGCTACTTTGGCTTAAGATTTCACTCATCAATAAAGCGTCTTTTTTATCTTTTGTCTCAAACTATTCTTTCGTCCTGATTCACATAGCATTTTTTCGGGATATAGACAGTTTCATACTGCGTTTCTTAAATGCAATGTACATTTATGTTACTGGAACTGTAAAATAGGCATAAAGGATAGAGATGTCATTATTGTTTTGGAAAATGAATGTGAAAAGACAGATGGATGTTGGTTTTCCAAGGCCTGGAAGGAGTGCAGACAAGCTCCACAATCTGGCACACATCAAGCAGAGCTGGTCCAACAGCAGGGAGATCTTCCTCCCTCCAGAGAGCCGTGGCACTATGGTTCTCCAGTAGGCTATCCTAAAGAAGGCATTGCTAAAACCTGCCTGGCCTGACCCAGATAATTTAAATCAACATTTTGTTCCACTTTTAACTGCCTTCTCTTCTTAAAAGCACCTAGTCCAAATCTGCTGAGGTAACATTGAGAGGAGGTGGTTTCAAAGCAACCCACTCTGTACCAGTGCCATGCAACACATTGGATCTCTGAGCTGCCCAGGTTAGAGCTTCCCAGTCTCAGTCCAGGGCTGAGCTGCAGCCTTTGTTTTCTGGAAAACCACAGCAAAATCAAGCACAGACCCGGGGGGGACATGATGAATCTGAAAGTATATTGATATTATTTTATGGGCTATCACAGCAGATGCTTTCAAGTTAACATTTTCACCACAAATATTCATTTTAATGTAACTCAGTCGCTCTTTGGTAACTCAAAAGATGATCAGTCACTTGACAAGACAAGGCACTGATGCAGTGAGTAAATAAAGGAGATGGGTTCTGCTGCTGCCACGTTACCTCTGTTTTGTCACACTGCATGTGTCACCAGGCAGCGAGGATCACTTTAATTACCAACTGCTTTAATGTCAAATAGTTATTATGGAAAATAGTGGGTCATGTTAATTTATTTTGTCAGCATGACAAGGAGATCACTTTTAATCCTTGGCAGTGACTTGAGGAGGCTGATGGAGAAGGAGGCAGGAGTGGAAGGAAAGCATTTCCACAAATTTCAGTTTCAGAGGGGCTGTTACCATTCAAGAGAAAGTATGAGATGGTTTTCAAACTGCTGGGTCCCCTTGCTTAGTCTATCAGAATTTCTGCAATAATAATGTTCTGTCAGCTGTCCTGAAATCTCACTACATTTCAGCAGCTTATAACTCATGCAGCTGGCAGGAAAAATTTATTCCTTTGACTTCTGCTTTTCCAAAAGCTACTGCAAACTTTCAAATATGTCTGATAAATTAACATGAAAAGCAAATGCTCTCCTAGCCCAGTGCCTTGGAAATATCATGGAGAGGTATAACTAGACATATTTAGTGATTAAAATACTTTCGAATCTTCTGAGTTTGATACCCCCTATGGACAAGATATTGAGCTTAGGTGTGTTTAAAAGGGGAGAGGCAGCACTGTGGCACTATGTTGTGTTGCATGCCTCTCTGCCCCTCCACCCCTTGCCTCTTTTTAAGGGCCAAGGGAAGGTCTAAATTCGGGTAGTTTTATGTACCTTTGCTTTGCCTGTGAAACTTCCTGCCTTCTCTCTGGTCCTTGCTGTCAAAACCAAACACTACTTGTTCCATCTCCACCATACAGAAATACAAAATAAAGCTCAGTTTTTACTTATTTGTCGACTTATTGTGTTTGTTTTGTGTGGTTTTTTTAACTCAGATGATCTCAGCAATCCATTTCCCAGTTCAGTGTCATGGACAGCTGATTCGGTCCAAGTGAGGAAACTGTGAGTAAATGATTGAGGATACAGATTTCTTAACTGCTTCTATGATATACAGAGAGCTGTACAATAGCCTGTAAGTTGCAAACTAATATCTCATGATATTACAGAGAGTTCAATGCCTTTCTTGATTCATGCAAGAGCATTTTTC